GCGCAGTTGGCCATATAATCTAAAATTGTATCTTTGGCGTGTAACCCGGGGCACTTCTTCTTCTTCTTCATCTTCTACTTGCAGCTCCTGCAGCAGCTCCTCCTTGCCTGCTGCTGCTGCTGCTGTTTCTGTGTCTGTTGTTTGAGGGTAGGTGGTGGGGGGGTAGCCCAACACAAAACTACAAAATAAACTGATTATGTGCCTACCGCACTCTCGAGCCGCATCCACAGCGAAATTAACAGCACCATCTCTTCGCGGCAGCCTCGGCTGCAGGGGTCCTCATACTCATCTGTGTGTGTGTGTGGTGTGGTGTGTGTGTGTGGATGGAGGCCTGTAGTCCGAGTCGAGTAGAGCTCGACTGGCCTTCGTTTGTTTCTATGGCGGACGGGCGATCGGGTCACATAAAATTTGCTAATATTTTGACCTTACGATATAATATCTTTGCTGCCACACAGCCATTGTGCACAGTGGGTAAAGAGCGGTGTATAAATGGGCAAATATTGGAGAAGACAAAATTAATATTTGGTATAAGTTTTAGTTGGGTAAAAAATAGATAATAATTTCAGCAAATAAAAATAAAAAATAAAATAAATACTTGTACATTTTTATTTTTATTTCAATGTTTCTTCTTATATTTAAATATTATATTTCCATTTGCTACATATATCTGCTGATTTTTCGATGCATTTATCAGCGATTGTGTCCCACTGTCACCCGATATATCTCCCTCTCTCTCTCTAGCCAGCGGCAGTAGCTGTGAAATAAAAATAAAACTTATTTATTACATTTGTCTAGAGCGAGAGACAGCAGGACAGAGCCGTGGCTCAACTTCATTGCACGGCTCCAGGCGGACTTTTCAATAATTTATTAAATTATTTAAATAATAAGCGGGCAATTTTTATCCGTTGCCGTTGAAACAGTCGAGTGATTGATATAGAATACAGTTTGCTCTACAATGGATAGAAGGGAGGTTAAGAAAATCAATGAAAAGATCGCCACAGACTGGCAATTTCCAACACTTTCGATGGATCATTGGAGAAGGACGCTGCTGCTGCTGCTGCTGCTGCTCTGCTGATCCACGGATGTTGCCCTTCTAACTATCTTCTAAGACAGATGAGATAGTCGAGAGGAGAGAGAGAGAGGCTGGCTTGCTGCATGCCAATCAAATGCTACCTCAGATTGCAAGCAGATTCCAGATGCCAGAATACAGATTCCAGAATACAAAATCAAGAATCCAGAATGCAGAATCCAGCCCTCAACGGGGCGAGGCCACCTAGTAGTAGTAGTAGTAGTAGTAGTAGTAGTAGTGTAGTTGTTGAGAGTATTTCTTGTGGAGAGCATCGAATGCGTAACAAGATCAAACCACAGCCACCGCACTCGGGGGGATACGATGGGACCCCGCTGGACAGCCGGACAGTTGGACAGTCGGACGTCAGAGGATGTTTGGCATTAAGCGTAATTGTTGGGTTGAATGCTGGGGCCTGAATAAAAACGAGAAGAGAAATATCATTAAATACTCGTACCAAAATCAAAGCCAAAGACACAAGTGAAGTGTAGCCCCGCAATGGCGATGGGCAAACAAGTCAACTTTTCCATACCCCTTTGTACAGGGCCAACAGACAGACAGAGTAGCTTAGGCTGGGACTGAACATGTGTTCTTTAAATTGCTACGAAATATTATGGCAACGTTTTTATCCCTAGAAAGCGAAGATAATCCTATTCAGTAATATTTTTCGAATTTTACAATATTTTATATTAATATTTTGAACATATTTTTGGGCCCATTTTATAGAGCCCATTCCTTGAGACTTGAGACTTGAGAATTGTATATTTATGCTGCTTACATGAAACATCTGCAGATGCATCGCAGCTTTAATTTAAATTAATTCTGAATTAAATTTATTTGAGTACAAAATTGTGTGTTGTTCGTGCAACGTTATGCTGTTCTCTTTTGCCACTCAATACAGGTCATGCCACAGTCGACTATTTCCTACTTTTGCGATTCTTTTGTTGTTGTTGTTGGTGTTATTTTAGGTGGGCAGCCACCGATACGAGCAAACCGAGCCAAAGGTTGTTGATGGGGCAACTGGAACTTGGTACTTGCCACTGCCACTGCCGGCAATCAGGTCGAAGTCAGTCTCTTTCTTTGAGCTTGCTCTTGGCCAGTCCCGGCTGGAGCTGAAGCTGAAGCTGGGGCCAGAGCCAGAGTCGAGCCAGAGCCAGAGCCGAGCCAGACCCGACCATGCCATGCCATGCCAGACATGAAGAATTACAATGAGTAGGTAGTTGGGCGCAATTGACGGTGGCTCAGCTTCAGCCCCGGTCTCTGTCTCTGTCTCAGTCTCAGCTTTAGCTCCGAGAACAGCTTCAACCTCTGCAAAGTTGGCAGCAGGTCGGCCCACGTTCTACGCTCGGGCTCCCGGGCATAGGTAGCACAAAAAGCTGTTCAATTTAGAATTCAAATTGTTGTCTTCGCCACTCGTCTGCCAGCCAGCCAGCCAGCTGTCCCTCCCCTGGTCTGTGTGTTGGCTGTGTTGGCTGACTGGCGGGGCTGTAGGGTTAAGCAGGTCAAAATCCGTACAACTAAATTGAGCCCAGAAATACAATTGGGAGAGGAGCCGCCGCCGCAGCAGCAGCAGCAGCAGCCGCAGCAGGCAAAGCAAAGACGTGGTCCCCTCTCGCCACTTGGTAGAATTCATTTTTCAGTTTTTCAGAGTCGAACAAGGGGTCTTCGGTCTTCAAATTAAAATGTATTTCGGGGGAGAACGAAGATCGGAGTCCATCCGCAGAGAGCAGGCGAGTGACCAGAAGCAGCCAGAAGCACTTTCGTAGCTGCTTATTAGTGTGATGTGTCTTTTGGGTTAAGATTCGGAGTTTCGGGTCTCGTACCGAGGAGGATGAGAGGCGGCTGAGAGGACCTGGCACGTTTCACATTTGACGCGCCATAAGGCTGACCCTGCTATTAATTTATTTTGCGCAAAACCAAAAAAAACAGAACACATTCCACAACTTTGAGATTATCCCCCAAATGGTTTTTCTTTTCTTTCAATTTGAATCCAATCCACTTATATGCATATTAGAGATGGCAGCGTGATATATCGTTTGAGGGAGTTCTTTTGTCATAATTTTGCAATAGTTTAAGCACAATTATCGCCATCTGTTGCTGCATATTAGTGAGGGAATATATGATGGGAATATCGTATAATCCAATCAAAAGTTAAAGATTTTGAAGCTTTTAAATCTGAGCTTGCGATAGTTTATCTCTAGCATCTATCGCATCTTTAAGATCGGTTTTTTTTTTGTTCCTGGTATATGTTAAGCCAAACGAGTATCAATTTTATATGGCCATTTTATTATTGAAATCCACTTGAATTCTATGTAAATATTGCGCAACAAAATAACTTTATTGGGCCTAAATTTTATAGCTCTATTAAAGCCACCACCAAATGAAAAGAAAGACAGACTCGGCCGGAGTTTAAAAGTCGTATAAAAAAAGAGCAACAAATATTTACGAGTTCTTTGGCTCTACATATGTGGACGTGGAGACGCTAACAAACCTTTGACGAATCTTTTGCTTGGCGGTATGCAAATCGAATTCAAAGAGTTCCTCCCCTCATTGATATTTAGCCAACGGATCTGTCCCATGGTCAACTCAGGTCACCGCCCATAAAAACTAGAACTATAAAGTTTAATTAGATTGAAAGTCTGGGGCGTAGCCAGCGGGGAAAGATACGCATCTCACGTGTCCGCACCAAAAGGCCAGCCAAACCAATTTGATTGAAAATATTTTGGCAGTCGCTACGATTGCAGATTCCAGAAGTGTTGCTAGTGGTGGTGGCTGGTGGACGAGGCCTATTCTTGGACTTATGCTAATTTTCAATCAACCAGAAAATGTGTGTGTCTTTTTGTGTGTGCCAAATAAATATTAGCTGCGAAACCATCTGAGCAACATAAATTCCAGTCTCCTTTCCATTAATTAATATTTATTTTTTTGGGCTAAGAAACTGCCACAACGATCATCAGATGCTCCTCTAATGCTCGATGCTGGCCCCGTTTCATTCTGCGAGTCTTTTGTTTGATGCAACAAAATGATTTGCATATTTCCATATTTTTTTCTACTGCGGCATGGCCTTTCCGTTGCTGTTGTTTTTTTTTTTCTGTTTGTTTGTGCCGTCTTAAATTGCCTGCGTTGCCAGGGACCGGCACCGGGACCGGGACCTGAGACTGCAGTCCAATTACATTGCGTGTAGACCTCTCGCTCGTAGACAACGCTGGCCGGGCCAGCTCTTTGCGAAAGGAGTTCAAAGTCAAGAGCCGAGCAGCCTAAGAGACTCACAATTCAAATCTGTTTTTGGCCCGTATTGTTATGGCCAAGCATTTGCCTTTATTTTGTTCCCCCTTTTTTTTTGTTTCTTTACTAGTTAATGCAAAGTTCTTGTTGCTGCTGCTGGTCAGTTGTTGCTATTGTTGGCTCTGTCAATTATTGGCACAGAATTTAGAATGCAATGCTCAGCCGGCCCAATGCACTTGGCCTTAGCCATGGCCATAACCACAGAGGCACCCAAATCAAAGCCTGCTCTTTTCCCCCGTCTGCACAACAGAATTATGACAGAGCCAAAGAGAGCTAGCTCGCTGGCCTGGCCATTGGAGTAAAAGCCACCAATTTCCGGTTAGAAGTTGGTTTTTTTTTGTTGTTTGTTGTCTGCTTAGGTTTTTTTATCTAGCTGGAGTTTTTTTTTCTACTGTGCGGCTGTTTTTCTTTTTTGTTTTGTGGGAATGTTGTGGTGATAGCAAGGAAATAAATTCATAATTAAACTACCAGAGAAATGTGAGGCTTGGCTTTCTTGGCTAAAAGCTTCCACTGGAACTTAGTTTAAGTTCTTCAAATCGAAGATCTGTTTCGCGATCGTAGCATATCAAATTACATTTATATTAAAATTCTATTTCATTCATTGACAAATAGATATCACATTCTTTCTGAAAAAACCCAACGCCTCTGGCTGTAACAAATTGCTTTGACAAAAGAGATCGTAAAATCGTTGATTTTCTGCATATTTAAATATTTAAAATGCTGACAACGTGAAAAGACCATAGAAAAATGTCATCGTATATTTATTGAGTATTTGATTGATATGCCTAATTAATCTTGGGGATTTCTCTGAGTACCAGCCCTCGTCCTTAAGCCTAGGATCTGGTTGTGGTGCTACACCTTGCCCAATGGCTGTTCTGTTTCCATGATGCGAGCCTTTTCCAAGTCTTTGTAGATGTCCGCACGACGACCCAGCTCAGCCAAAACTGTCATTTTGTTCGTCGTGAATTCTTCACCTTTGAGCTTGCGATACTTCATTTGGTTACCCCCGGCCTGCTCCATGAGCCTGGTATCGACGGTGCTCGCCCAGGGACGTCGTGTGGTGATAACATTTTCATACATGGCCGTATTGTTGACGGCAAACGGACTGGGCTTGATGAAGATGGCCATGTAGCCAGGTCGCTGGACGTCCCTGTCCACGGGAAAGACACTGAAAATCAAGGGAAATCATAGAAAATCCTAACGAAACAATTTTGGGTTGCAATGATTTGCGCTTACCAAAAATACTGGGATGTGGGGCGCCACAAATTGAAGCCCCACCAGCCACCGATGACGCGGAAGGGACACGAGCGATTACGACCCGAAAAAGTGGTTATCACATCGCCCACAGAGACGAACAGGAGATCTGTGGTATTGGCCGCCACCAGCTGAGCCTTGCGCAGCATAAAGAGATCGTTGAAGCCCGAGATGACCACATCGTCGTACAAGTTGTACACCAACTGATCGTTGTTGTCCTGTCCGATGATCAGCATGGCTATTCGCATGGAGTTCATTATGTGGGCCAGCGCCAAGAAGTTGATATTCATGTCCTTGTAGTCCTCGGTGATGTAGCCGAAGAACCAGTGCCGCATATGCACCCTACTGGGCAGCTCGATGCGAGTCATCAGGTGCCAGGGACCGCCCCAGCTGTTGTTGAACTCACAGAGCACCTTGCTGGGTATGCCGCGATCTCTCTCCAGACTAATGCCGAACAGCTCGTGTAGATCCATTTCCTCGTGACATTTGGCGCCGGGATACTGAAAGAATTCCGGCGGATGGGGTGTGACGGTTTTCCATTTTGTATCCTCCTTTGAACTGCCATCCGTTATAGGCGTGGTACCGCCCTCTGGTGTAGTCTCATTTTTGTCTGTTCCTTCGCCAGAGTCTTCGATGATATCCATTAGCATATTTGCTTCTGTGGTCACTTCTTGGGCTTTTTCTGTAGGGTCTACTTGGCGTATTGGTTGCAATTCCTTCCCGATACCTGCTGTGGTGTGTTTCGTTGTGGTGTGCCCCACTGTGGTGGTGGTGTGCTTTTTTTTTGTGGTGTGTCTCTCTGTGTTATGTTCCTTGGGCACTTTTTCGTGGGTCACTACTTGTGGGGGCTCTTCTGTGGCATCGAAATTGTATCCTGTTGTTCTCTCAACTTTGGTGCTGGTGGTTGTGGTTATTTTCCTAATCTTAGTTGTCTCCCGACTCGGCATATCGTTGTGGCTAATCACAATCACCTGAGTTACCTCATCCGTGTTTGAGGCAGAATCATGGCTCTCCTTTGATGCCCAGCCATTATAGTCAGTCATCGAACTGATCTCCAGGGTCTCCTCGTCAATATCCACCCAATTTGAATTTTTCTTTTCATCGCGAACCGTTTCATATTGTTCCCGCTTCATATATCCATTGTTATTGAAGACAAAGTTCATGTAGTAGGTCTGGCTAAGGACAATCCACGGCAGCGTTGTGGTCCACAGGCATCGTTTTAGCATCGCGACGACCTTCACGTGGGTCACACCCAGGGCGAAAGTCACTGGAATCCATGTGGGTTCTCTTTATAACCTCGCCCGGTTGGCATGTGACGGATCCCATTATCTATTGCCAATTGTGTTATCAACATTCAGTTGACTTTTAATGAAGCGTCAATTAATTGTCATGCGATTCGTTAGAGACAAGCTCTGGACTTGTAATACTCGTGTTTTACTGGAGTTCATAGTTCATTTGGCAGTTGGCAAGTGGTGGGGGGGGGCTTTGTTGCAATATATTGTTGTGTTTGGACACACAATGCAAACATAATTCGGTTGGTTAGTGGTGCAAAACTTTTATTGAAATTGCAATATTATAAAAATATTGTAAAATAAATCATTGCATTTTATTATGTATATTTTTTTACCACTTCTTTATCCAGAAGAAAATAAAAAACACACACAATTTACGAGTAGGATCGTATTATTTTTATTATTTTGATTTTTTTTTGCAATTCACGCGTATTCTCTTTGGCAGCATTCGCTTGTGCGTCTTGAGTCTTCACCGCTTGTATTTTGTACCTCATACGCGTACATGCTACCTTTGCCAAGTACTTTAACGCTTCTAAAAGAAACATCCTAGCCCACAATCGAACGAACGTAGCTACGAAATTCGCTTTTCTATATTTAAAATTTTATTGACATATAGTTAATGTATTCATGTGAAGAGGCTTCAACCTCCGAAACTCCACGGCCGCCGGGTTATACTGCCGAAAAAGAATAGGAAACGAAACGAAAACAGATACTTCAATAGACGAATTTATGAATATATGGACTGGTAAGGGACGACCTACGCTCAGTTATCCCCGTTGTATTCCTCGTAGTCACTCTCCCCGTACGTTCTTTTTTTGACGCCTAATGGCCCCACTGGAGGGTGGCCATTCACTAAGGTGTCTTCTCCACCCTGACTGGCAGAACTGTCCTTGCCAACGCCACCACTGCCGGAGCCGCCCTTGCTGCCGGAGTGGCCGTGGCTTTCGCTGCTCTCGTAGATGGAGCGTATGTAGCGTCCGCCGAAGCTGTCGTCGATGCTGATCTCGTAGCTGCTGTGGTGGCTGTGTTCTCCAGCCGCTTTGGCGGCGCCTTCGTTGGCGTTCATTTCGGCCATCCTTTTGCGACGATCGCCTTCGTCTTTGCTGTCGCTGTCGTCGTCGTCACCCACATCGCCGGGAACACCCATATCATCGCCGCCGTCATGATTGCCATCTCCACCGTCACCGTCGCCGTCTCCATCACCTCCATGATCGCCTCCACCATCCGCTCCATCATGGCCTCCATCATCTCCTCCATAATCGCCTCCCCCGTCGCCACCGTCATCCCCGTCGCCCCCATCGCCCCCATCGCCGTCGTGATCGCCGCCATGATCACCTTGGGCTTCTTCGTTATGATCTCCGTTATTATCGTCTCCATCAGCGTTATTATCGTTATGATAGCTGAGGTTATCGTTGTCATGGTCACCTTCATCCCCGGTCCCATGATCGCCGAAATTTTGTGGGGCCTGTTTCTCAGCGCCTCCGCCAATGCCCTCGCCGCTGAGGGCCCCATCGGGATTGTTGTTGTTGAAGGCAAAGTTCATGTAGTACTTCTGCCCGAGGACGCTGCCGCGCCCCTGCAGCTGGACGAGGGTCAGCAGGACCAGTGTGAGTAGCCGTATCCTCCACATCGCTGCTACGATCCTACGAGCTTTGGAGCAGCGCCCTTGATGGCCTCTCTTATATATAGATGATGAGGTCCGTTTAGTGCGGCGAATCGTTCGAATCGCAGCAATCGATTTGGATGTGGAGCAGCCCATAAAGAGCTCGTCCGATAAAGGCGTGTCCAACATGGAGTACGGGCAGTGGCAGTGGCACTGGCACTGGCACTGCCATCGGACGGCAGTCACAGCACACAGCCACAGCACACAGCTCGATGGCCAAACAGTGGCAGTTTGTAGTTGCCGGCCAGCAGAAGAAGTTGCAAGCAAGCAGTAGCTGGAGCTGGAGTTGGAGCTGGAGTACGAGCAGGAACTGCAACCAACATCAGCAGCAGCTGGCTCTGAAACAGGTTGCCCCCGTCGAAAGAGCGCATGGAAGCGGCATGGAATTCAATCAGGGCCAATCTATAATAGAAATCTCATGTGGCGCGAGCTTCGTTTTGCCCCAAAGGGGAGTTTGGTTAGAGCATAGCTGTGGGGGGGCGTGGCAGTCGCAGTCGCAGTCGCAGTGGCAGTGGCAGTGGAGAAGAGGGGTGGTGCCTTCACTGGCTGCCGCTCTCTGCGCCCACTTTCAATCGATCGTGCGTTGCAAATATGAAAATGCTACTGCAGTGCAAGCCGAACAGCGTACAGCATACAGCGGAGCAGAAGCAGGGACAGGAGCCGGAGTCAAGTTGGGCTAAAATCGTTTTTCATTAACAATTTTAAAAGCGGCGCATTAATCAGAGGCAGACAGAGATACGCAGATCGTAGGATGCCCTGTGCCTACGAGGCTTCCTGGCTGCAAATGCCACTGTGGTACTGGCTCTAGCAAAAGGTTGGGTAAATATATACGGATATATAATGGATGGATTACTGTTAGTTGTACTTTCCCACAAACAATTTTACTTGGGCGGGAAATCCTTCTAAAAATTTACTCTTAAATGTCTCTTAAATATTTTAAATTATAAAATGTAGATCCAGTACCACTGTGCAGTCGCTACATATATAAATCTACTCTTACACACACACTAATAAACGTCACTCTCTCGCTCTCTTTGCAGTCGTTCCGTGATCAGTCGATCGACGGCACCGGCCTGCCGCTCTTAACCGAAGATCATTTGGTTAACTCGCTGGGCATGAAGCTGGGGCCGGCACTCAAGCTGCGCTCCATATTGGCGAGGAAATTGGGCGGGCCGTGTCCGTGTGTTGCATGCGTTGCGCAGGCGCAACAAATGTTGGCCTTGCAAACGGGTGGAACACCGCCAGCAGGGGCGGGCGCAACAGGCACAGCCACTGCCCCCCCAACTAGTTGCAGCATCATCAAAACGGAGATCTTTAATGGGAGCAGCAGCAGTAGCAGCAGCAACAGCAACAGCAGTAGCCACAGCAATGCCACATGTTGCATGAACGATGCCAGCTAGTTATCTGGCATCTATCCCTATAAATATTTATGCTAACTAATTGCATTTCAACTGCAAACATTGTTGTACCAAATGAGCTTTCAAAAAAAAATAACAAAAAGCAAAACAAAAAACAAAACAAAACAAAAAATGGCGAAGAAAAAACCCTACTGTATAACTGTATAAATTAAACGTGTAATCTAATTGCTAGTAGCTAAAGTTGTGAACTTTAAGTGACAACAACTGAAACAACAACGATCGCAAAAGTCTTCCATTTGCACACATACACACACACACACACTGACAGACAGACAGACAGGCAGACAGGCAGACACAAATCATATTTGTATAGAGTTAATCAATTAATTAGTCAATTTAATGAGAAGAGTTTTCGTTTACGTACTTAAGTGCAGAGCGCGCTTCTGCTTTGCATTGAATTTTATTTATTTTCTATGACTTTTATATTTTAACTGCTAGTCAGTAATGCATATACAATTAAATACGTAGAATTTCGCGTAATGAGAAACTTAAAAACTTAAAAAAGAATTCAATATTATTGTTTAGCACAAACGAAAGTAAAAGGCTATTTATTTTAATTATTTTAATTGCAATACGGCATCAATTGTTACACACCCCCCAAATCTTTTACTTTCAAATAACTTTATATATTTTATATACATTTTATATTTTCTGCGGCCATGCACAGAGGAATTCAAAATTCAAACTTTAAGAACTGTACATCATTTTTTTAAGAGCTCCAAGACTTGAAGACACACACACTCACACACACACACACACACACACACACACACAACAACAACAACTACAACAAAACAAACAAGAAAGAAGCAAAAACAAATACCTATTTTATAGTTTCTTTGTAAATATTGTTTATTTAATTATTTATAAGTTAACTAGAGAGAGACATTTTCTAACACTTAGGCCGTATGCAACGAACTTAAACAAATACAAAACAAAACAAAAACAGAACAGAAAACAAAATGCATACCTTCTGCAACATAGGAAAGAGAATAAATTTGATTTATTATTTACATTTAATGAAATATACATAGCTATTTTTCACAAGCTAAAGCAAATAAATTATACCAGTTATCATACAAAACAAATCAAAAGCATAGTACGACAATTTAATACCCTTTCAGAAACTGTCGATTATACGTACAGTATCTCTGTGGGATAGACAGGCATGTGGAAGACCCACACGGCACATTCTGATGGGCTGATGTCCCCGAGATCTACATAGGTGTTCATTCGGATGGAATGTCGGCCATTGCTGCGGCAAGCACTTATATACTTGATGAGGTTCCTGCTGAACCTACTTTGAAATTTATGCAGTATGTACCCATATACCCTTTGGGGTAGTGCACTTCTGAATGCAGTCTCTGAGGCGTTATGGGCACGCGGCTGACCTCCGGACCGCTCTCTGCGCCGCGGGTCGAGCGTAACCGTTGCGCCAAAAGGCAACCAAGGATGGCTGCAAAACAATTAAAAGCACGCAGCGCACCTCCAGCGTCTAATTACAAATTGGAGTCATTGAATTTATTAAAATCGGCCCCGCGTAAATTGCGCAGCAATGCACTTGAGACACGCGAACTGATATTGTGGGCCATCGGATCGCCGCGGCGCTCCTTGGTTCTCATTACTCGGTCATAATTCACTGCGCCAGCCCGGTTCAAGTATCCCTAACAGCCCATCAGCTCTTCAAGCCCATCCAGGTTACTGTGGACCCGCTACTGCCCCTGCCTCGGCCATAATTGTTTTCTTAGGTTTTATTAAAACAAAAAAAAAAAGAAGTAAAACTTTATGGAAGATTATTTGAGGGGTGGTTTTAGGCCGCCAATTTTGGACAGTGTACATTTTGTCTTTCGAATTTCCTCATAATTATGATATCAGCTTAAGTCAAATTATCTAATATCATACGAATATTACACAGCTGCAATATGTGTTAGAGGAAAACAAAACATTTTGTTCGATCTGCAGCTACGACAAATAAAAGTCACAACTTACACGTAGGTACTGCAGCAGCATTATACAAATAATGCAAATAGTCTGCAATTTTAATTAATATAATTCTTAAAGTGCGGCTTAATTCGTTGAAACCATTGGGTGTGCATACACCCTGCCTGAACTTCTCATATGCAGTTAGCCTATAAGTATATTTTGGTTGTGTAACTCTCTCTGATCTGCTGATCAGCCTAAAAGTATGTTTTGACCATTAATATTATTTATTTTAATTATTGGCATAGCCAACAGTTTGGGCCGCTATATCTCGGTCAAATAGGGCTAGATCAGATAACAATCCAGACTGTCGATCGGCATAATCTAGATTACTCTCGAAAATAACTTAAATTTTTGGCAAATTTTCGAAAATCGTCAAAAAATGTATGTCATTTCTTTAGGTACCAATTGATGTGCTGTAAATCTTTCGATAACATTTAAATGGGAACAATTGGGTGAGGGGATTCCGATTGGAAAATGTTGTGCAGCTGGAAGAGTAAGTACATATAAATCCATAGCATTAATGTTAGTTAGTTAAAAAGCTTAAAAGTTGTGTGGTCCTAGAAACGATTGGCGATTGGTGACAAGCAAATACGTTTTATCGTTGGCAGTCATCTGAAAGATAACGCAAAAACACAAATTGAGACTTTGCGAATGCCCATCAGAGTACAGTATGTATATATGTGGCTTACCTCGTCTTCAAATGAAACAGATGACAGAGAAATCCGTACTATCAATGGTCCTTGAGCTGAGGGATCTCTCACTGATTTCAATATATTCACGGAATTTTTCAGAAAGGTTTGGTCTATGCGGACGTTTGATCTGCCCAAATTAATATACTTTAGTTTTCGACATGCTCGGAAGATGTCAAGGAGATGTCCGGAAATATTTGCAAATGCATGTCGCGAAGTGATATCTATGCTCTCAAGATTGGTCATGTTAGCCAAGAGGGAGAAGCTTTCTTCGTCTTTGAAGCCACACTTTAGGCTTGTGATTGAATCAAGTTGCACGAGGTGGCGCGCCTCTTCATGGCCTATGGAAGTGTGCTCTAAAACCAAATTCTTTAATTTTGTTGAAGCCTTGAGTGAAAGTGCGCCGAAGAGACCTTCTAGAGAACCTCGTTCGGGCGTAGAGGAGATTGTCAACTCTTCGAGGTGCACAGACTCGGCCAATCGCTCCATACTCCGGTATCTTCTATTGGGAGCTTCAAGGACTTCAGTTTCGGAATTTGAGAAACAATGTCCAATGCGGCAGCTGGTTTGTTATCGACTGCCGGACCTTTAATATTCAGATTCTGGTTCTTTGATTCGCCAGGAGATGAAAAAGCAGTGATCTACCAGAAAGGTTTCACCTTTCCTAGTTTTTATGGCCAGATCCTCGATGCAGGATCGCTGTGACAATACATCGAGAGCCTCTGTGCTGCAGAACGCGCACTCAAGTCGCTTCAAGGATCTTATGGCCGACACTTCGGTCACCTCTTGGGGCGTAAGACTTCCGTCCCTTACATCCAGATGTTCTAGTGTGTGGCACTCCCTGGCGGCAAGAATCCCAAGAAGGTTCTTAAGGGAGCCCGTTTGATGGGATTCAATAATCAGCACTGCCAGCTGGGGAAGTTTAGCCAGCTGTTCTACGTCCTTCACACAGTTTAAGCCGCACTCCAGTTTTATCGTCATTTTATGCAGCACGGGATAAAATAATGTTCGTTGGCGACGGCTACAAATACAGGTTGGGGCTTTGGCATAACTATTTTTACAGGCGCCTCCATTAAATATTCTTGTATTGTATATAATATTCAATTCATTTATTATATATTTACTTTAAGTGTTGGTAAGCGGGTCAAAATTGCCAACACCGCCTCCATTTTTACAAACGACCGGCGTGAAACTTAATTCCAGCTTCGAAGCGCGCGTTTGTCTATTGCAAAATGCAAATACTTGATTATTTTAATATCATATTAAAATGACAATCGATGGTAAGTGAAGGGCGAAAGTGTGTGTAACCATTGACTAATATTTATATCTAATTAGAATATGGATTGGGATTTAATCCCTTTGTCCCCGCTAGCCAGTTCAATGCTACGCCTAGCGAGTCCACAGATTCTACCCACAGTGTCGACACCGATATCCAACTAAGCCCCACATTCAGCGAGTTTCTTGAAATTGAAATGGAAAATTCTGGAAACACGAAGAGCGTTCCAGAAGACAAGATAAAATTACTGATTCAGCATAGGAAGACACTTTTAGAACTCCTGTATCTCATACAAATAAAACAGAAGGTACTGGATGCGTTCATTAAGCAACAGAAGCCAAACAACGAGAAGAAGACCAAATGACCAAAATGTGACAACAATAATTGGAATTGCTGCTGTGCAGCTTATAAATAAATAAATACTCTTGGTACATATATAAGAACAATTACATGGAATCACATTTCTGTCTGGCTTCTGGTGCGCTAATTTTATAGCCTAACATCAATCGTGCTCTGCTCTCTCGCTTCTCTGATAAGTACCCTATACCCTCTGACCTAAAGTTTTTAGTACATTGCAGTTTAGATGCTTCTGGGAAACGCGCTCGACATCTCAGTGTGGTAGGATTAGAATTAGAAAATCGTGATGTGCCATTGCGTATCTACCTCTAATTAATAAAGCTACAAATTTTTCCGAAGAAATTGACATTGGCTTCGATACGCAAGTTACTCCTTAAAATAAACTTGTTTCAACATATTTTCATAATATTTAATGGCATTTTTAGAACATATTACTTATCGAAATTGAATGAATGTTCAACGCAATGGACCGGTAATGACAAATGTGTTAGTGTTTCGCTTAGAATTACAAATGTATTAAAGCGCACGGGACAATCTTTAGGTGGCAATTGGGGTGGGTTTGGCCTCTGGCTCGGCTGGCGGTGCCTTCTCTCCGTTGCTGTTTTTTGCAGCTGGCAAATCCTTGACACCTGTCGAGCCGAAACCGGCCACCCCGCGTTCAGTGTCATCCAGCTTGTCGACCAGCTCCAGTTCTGGGTAGAAGATGCGCTCGCAAATAAACTGAGCAATGCGATCTCCATGCTTCACCTCGAAGTCCGTTTCAGAGTGGTTGAATAGAACGACGCCCAGATTGCCGCGGTAGTCTTCATCCACAACGCCGGCGCCCACATCAATAAAGTTCTTCACGGCCAGGCCAGAGCGCGGAGCGACGCGACCATAGGAGCCCTCCGGAACTTGCACCTGCAGGTCGGTCTTGACGATGGCCTTCCCGCGGGCCGGGACCACCACATCGTAAGCACTGCGAAGGTCCACGCCGGCTGCCTTGGCAGAGCCGCGGACCGGCTCCAGGGCGTGCTCCGTTAGTTTGGCGAAACGCAACACACACTTCTCGATTTTCATCTTTTTGGCTGCTTGAATGTCGTCGGTAATGGGTGAAGGCATCTGCAATGATTGTTGCTGTTCAATATCCACACCTTTTTCGCAAACTACACTTGCAATTTTTTGGCGGCGAAATAGCGTCTATCAAATAGGTAAAATTAGAGGTGTCAAACAATCGAGGGCACTATCGATAGTATCGATTTTTTGCTGCTATCCGCTACTATCGAAGGTTTTGCGACTATCATGATAGTATTGAGCTACAGTTGTTGCGCTTTTGATATGTTTAAATTGGCTGCTCTTAAATACGAAGACAAATTTATAAACAAATCGACAGGTGGCATCTAATTTTTACAATGGACAAGTTCCTAAAAGGTTTCAATGGTTTTTTAATAATTATTTGAGCCCGATAATATTACGATAAAATCGACTGTTTTTTAAAAACTATCAACGGCTCAACTATCCATGGTTTGACAGCTCTAGTTTCCGAAGGACAGACAGACCCACAGATTTATCAATAAAATACACCGCCTGACCCACAGAAATATGCCCAAATATAGCGGAAATATACCGACCCCCCCTCAAATATGTGATCAAACTATCGATGAACACATAAATATCGGTACTTTTGTGCGATATTCCGACTTACATTTTTACACTTTATCTACCACCACTAGTAGCAGTGTGACCAGACTGCCAGAAATCTCTGCAATTGGACAATTTCTTTGTAAAATTATAACTTTGAAAGTGTTTTCGTCACTTTACTTCAATTTAGACAACAATTGAAGTCAGATTATAGGGTTTGCCAGCTACATCATCCATGTGGAGATCGAATACCCAGCAGTAAACGCGCTAGAAATTCAATTCCCGAGGTGAAAGCAGCAGAAACATCATCGTCGAGCAGCGAAACCACCTCAAAAGGGGGAGGCGCCTTTCTGCTGCTGCTGCTACTGCTTGTCCACTTGGGCCACATATCAATGCAAAACAATGGAAATCAATTGAGGCAACACATTAATCACAGGCAGTAGTGCGGTCGTGGAGCGAAGGGGGGTGCTCAAGCGGATTCGTATACAGAAAACAAATGTGAATTTCCAGACCACCAGCCACCCAGGCGAAGTGTATTGCGAGCGAGCGCAGGCAGTGTGTGTGTAAATGCGTGCTACGGTCGGTCTTATGCTGTCTCATGGTAGCGTGGAGCCAGTTATGTCACGACCCGACTACGAACAGAATGCCCTGCATCACAGCTCTCTGCTGGTGCTGCTGCGTGGTGTGGGACCCTCGCGGGCACGCATCCTCCAGCGGGCCTTTGAGAAAGTGCGACGTGTCAACAGCATCAAAGTGAATGGTAAAGTACTTGAGGTCACCTCAGGTCACCATTGAGATACATCTAAATGCTTCTTCTCTTGCAGATTCCAGTGGCAATACACGCACAATTTGGGTGCGCTTCATCCATGATCATCCCGTGGAGCATAATGATTGGGGCGACTTTCAGACACATCGCCGCCTGCTGGGCCTCGTCACCATTGGCAAGTTTGACAATCAACCAGAGCTGAATGAGCTATGTCGCCAGCACGAGTCCCTGAAGGTGCGCTATGGCAGCACTCTCTACGAATCCCGTGCCATATTCTTTGGTCCCGACGAACCCAATGGCCTGGAGACCATTGGCGAGGAGAAATCGACAACACCGCGTCGCCTGCAGGATGACTATACGACGCCCTCGAACTTCAAGTCGCAGGCGTTCTTCTATCGCGAACAGGACTCCTGTGCGGATCTCGAGTCACGCATTGGAGACTTTGTCAGCGCTCTGTTTTGGGTGCTCGAGTCGCGGCGCCTGGAGCGTTCGCGGGAGAAGGCGGACAAGGTGAGCCTGCTGCTGGCGCCCTTCGAGAAGCGCGACTTTGTCGGCCTGGACATGGAGTCGCGAAACAATCGGAAACGTTGCGTGGGCCGTGTAATGAAGAATCTGGCTGACTTGTCGCTGCAAGCGGGCCTCGTCGATGATGCACTCAGTCTCTATCATAATGCCAACGAAACGTTGAGATCTGTGGGCGATTCCCTGTGGGTGGGGGCCACCGAGGAGGGTCTGTGTGCGGCATCGGCCATGCTGTTGTATCCGCAAATGCGAGAGATTGAGACGCTGCATAGAAACTCGTCGCTGCAGGAGGCGGGTAAGTGGAAGAACAGTTTGGGAGTGGCAGAAATGTAACCTTTTCTCTGGTCATTTGCAGGCACCTCCCCGCTGAGGCATACTCCCGAGAAATGGCGCGCCAGCGATGCCACCAAAAAGGTCACCACTGCACCCGACACGACGAATGGGGAGGCAACAGCCCAGCAGCAGCAGCAACAGCAGCAGAGGCTCACCTCGAATTCATCTTCCTGCTCATCGGTATCTTCCTTGGTGACGACGGCCAACAATTCCTCGGCCTCGGACACGCCAACCACTTCATCCACGACCACCTCTTCCACATCCACAATATCGGCAGCGCCGCTGGGCGGCAACCAACGCAACGGAGAGCTGCCCGGCAACATACTCAAGGCGGAGGAGATCACCAACTACTATCGCAAGGCCATCATCAACTACAGCAAGTACCGGCATGCGGCCACCATTGAAACGGAGGCGGCACTGAAGGCCTCTCGCATCTGCATCGAACAGAATCGACCGCTGGACGTGGCCATGTTCCTGCAGAACATTCTCTACATCAATCTGAGCATGAGCGAGCCGGAGCGCGTCAAGCGATTCGAGATCATTACGGATCTGTATCAGCAGATTGGATACCAGCGGAAGGCGGCCTTCTTTCAACGGCTGGCGGCGCTGAAGCATGTCCAGCAGGGCAGCCAGGCGCCGGATTGGAATCAAAGCTATCGCTTGATGCTGGGCAGCTTTACGGGCTATTTGCTGTGCCTGGATCCGCTGGAAGTGGTGGAGAATGCTGCCGGCTGGCCGGCACTGCAGATTGATTTGGTTCAGAGTCTGATCACGGCTGCCCGACGATTGGGACACTCGGCCCTGGCCACGCGCCATATGACGTTCCTGCTGCAGACCCAATGGGACAATATGTCGCCTACAGAACAAAGCGAAATGGCTATACAATTGCAGGTGGGGTCTCCATTAAATACATTTAATTAAATGATTATAATCGAAGTTTGTTGCAGAATCTAAGCGCCCAGTGTGAGGGCTCGCCTGTGCCGCTGGTGCTGGAGAATGGCACTGTGATACCGCCCGCCAATTTGACAGATTTGCCGTACTGCCTGGACTTTCAGGTCAAGGATCTGCCGCCCCATTTGCGGCCGCAGCGTATCAAGGTAGCCAAGGCGGACAGCGGACCGTTTCTGTTCACGCCCATACACTTTAATTCCGTGGATAGAAGGGACAAGAAGAAGGATAAGAATAAAATAGGTGAGCCTGAGTGGGTCTTAGATGTGTTTAAAATTGATCTCTAGCATTGCTCTTTCCCTTGCTGCAGCTTTCTCGTGGGTTCAGAACGATCTGAGCGAGGTCTGTGTGCGTTTGAGGAATCCCCTGCCATTCGAGCTGACCGTCACCGATATGCGACTGCTGACGAATGGCGTTGTGTTCGAGTCGCTGCCCCAGACCATTGTCCTGCAGCCGCATGTGCCCACCTATGTGCCGTTGCATGGCACGCCCATTGAGACGGGGCAGCTGGATCTTCAGGGTTACAGTACGCACACGCTGGGCGTCAAGTCCAATTGCCGCCTGAAGCATATGCGCGGGCGCAGCTTTCCGCCCAACTATCTGGTGGAGGTGATACCGGCCCTGCCGCGAATAGCTGTGAAAACTTCGCTGCCACAGACGGCCACATTTAGCAACATGAATAGTGCGGATATTGTCGTCACCTCGGCCAGCCTCACGCTGTACAATGGGGAATCCTCCAGCTGCACCATTACCATTACCAATGAGAGCGCCACCCTGCCGCTGGAACATCTGGAGGTGAACATTAATTCCAATGTAGAGCAGGAGCTGCAAAAGAAGATCTTTCGCATAGATGAAGAGGCTTTGCTGGTGAGTTTCAAGTGGTGGCCGTGGCCAAGGCGAGAGATGATCGATTCTTAATGCCATTTTCCTTTGGCAGGCCAAGCTGCCTGTTCCGCCACAGGGTACCATTGATTTTGTGGTGGAAGTGTATGCCGAAGCGGATTTCGTTTGCCCACAGCCACCTCCGTCATCGGTGGGGGGGCATTTCAGTGCACCAGCGGCTGGTGATTACTCCCTGATGTCCGCCTCGGGGCACGCCAGTCTGCCCTCGAGAGTGGGCTCACCGCAGCATCGCCGCCACGAGCCGCAAACCTCCAGCTTCCGCTCAACCATGTCCGGTGGGCAGCCCTCGCTGGCGGCATTGAGCCTGCAGCCAGGTCCCTCCAGCCTTGGTTCGCAGTATTCGCAGCACATTGAGGCGCAGGTACGCTTGAAATACTCCGGAGGAGAGGCACTGACGGCTGGGTATTGCCGCCAATGTGCGGTGTCCTTTAATCTGGAGCTGCTGCCCAGTGCACAAATTACCAGCTGGGATGTCCTGCCAGCCGAAATGTAAGTGAAGCGATTGCTCCCTTGAGTTCCCTTGAACTTTTATTCATTTTCTGTTTCGTTTTTCAGAGCTTCCCAGTTCTATCTGGTGCTGGACATTTCCAATCTAACCGCTCAGGAGATGTCGCTCAATTACACAGACAACAAGAATATACTCATCGAGGCCAAAGAGAGCTGCCGTGTGCCCATACCAGTGGATCGTTGCTCCCTGGAGCAAGTGTGTGCGGCACGGGCAGCCGAGGTTGCGGAGAATCTAGAGAGAGGTTTGACCTAGTTTGCTGCAGATATCGTCAAATATTGTAACCAAATTGAAACCCTTTGCAGAACTCTGTTTTCGCACGCAGCTGCTGTCGTTTAATGATGCTCTGAGCAAACTCTGCTCGGAGCATATAGCCGAGCGGGTGAAAATCAATTGGCTGCTGACTGGAACCGATATCCAGGGCATTGCCTCCCTGCGTGGCATAGTCCTAACGCAGTCCATGGTGGATCTCACTGCTGTATCGCCCCTGCTGTGGTGTAAGTTATACTGCAACTCGTATTGCTCTCTAAAACTGTTTTCATTTGTGCCCTTTTGCTCGTAGCTATTAGCTTTCAGGATACGCCTGTGCAGCCGCACAGCGAACTTGTGTGTACGGTGGGTCAGCGTGCGCTGCTTAGCATACAGCTGACCAATGATTCGATGCAGCCGCTCAAGAATCTGGTGTTGAGCATCAAGTTCTATCAGGATTATTTAAATGGAATGGAGAATTACAATCTGGAGACACGCGTGGCCTTCTCGGGGCCAAATCGGTAAGAGTCGAAGCTGATGGTTGTATATATAGATGTTAGCATATATAATCAATCATAAAATGTCTTTAGAATTGCCATTCCCATTCTGGAGAAACAGGAGCAGAGGCAGCACACTTGCTCTGTGATATTCTTTACGCCTGGACGCTTCAAGGCGGGCATTGAGTGCACCACCAATCCGCAACAGCAACAGCCGACGTCAGCACGTTCCTGTCCGAGTGCCACAAATATTGTTGGAGGTCAATTAGATATGTTCTCGTCCAGCTATGATGAGCAGCAGGCGCATGTTTGGAAATTTATACCGCCCATTGAGGTGACCGTTGTTGAGCAGTGAAAATCGGACTTGTTAATGTCTCTAGTTTAATTTCGTTATTACATACACATGTGTATTTATGTGCGTGTGTCTCTTGTGTGTATATGTAATGGCTATATACCCCCACATATAGTTGGATTCGCGCTCTGTTATACCCCTAGGCTTGTGGTAATATCAAAAGCAATTAAATCGAGTAATAAATACGCATAAATTGTATATAATTAAGCTCAAAACATACAAAAACAAAACAAAAAAACAAAAAACGTATATATACCACAACTAAATGCTTGATAGAGAAAATGGCCATAATATAAAATCATATAGTCCATATATCCTATATATATATCCAGAGTTATACAGCTTTAGGCTTGTAAAGTGGTGTATTTATATATATATAGATAGCAAATGTTTCGCGCACTAAAAACAAAAAGCCACTCCAAGCATTATACATTTTGATAACAAATTCGTATTTACAAATATTTTTATACAAAAAAAGCAAATGCAAATGCAAGGGAAAAAAACTACTGCAAAAATCAATTGACACGGGGGGCAATACAGACATGGAAATAAGATTAAGAATTGTTGCTACCTTCTCGAAGGATCTAAGATAATTTATGCCAATGAATGTGTGAATAATTTGTAGTGTGTAAAGTAAATGCAATAAAACTGTATTTGACAAAACATAGTACAACAAAAATAAAAACAAATACGAGTATATAAACCCCTATCCTATCCCAGTCGTCGTATATCATCCATGGTGTAGCCGCGACGATGCAACATAACGCAGGATAGCACATACATATAGTAGCCGCCGGGTATAATGGTCAATGCACCAATAATGGACAAAGCCCACACACGATCCACTCGCTCCCGCTTGACATCCGCCATCCAATCTATGGTGGCAAAGACAATACATATCTGAAAATAAAACAAAGCAAAGAGTTATCGTAAGGATGAGTCATCAAGGGGCCCCTGGAGACGAATATTGAACGTACTGAGCCGCCTATGAACAGGATGAGGATTATGACTATCGTTTTCCATGGCGTTGGCTCAAGCAAGTTCGGTTCCATCCATTGCTCGTTCACAAATCCATCCGTTTCGCACTGGCCATCGATCACCTTGATGTAGTCGCCAGACGGCGGGCTGGAGCCCCCCACGTTGAGACGTCGACGGGAGTCCGTTTTGGTGGGCAGCATATTTGGATGGTCAACTGGTTGGTCTTGATCGGGGTCGGTCAAGTGAAATTGAACGAGCACAATTTTAGCGGCGATTTTCTCTCTCTGCCTTATCAGAGCTGTTGCCAACAGATGGCGCCAAGGCTGCCAATCTGTTGGGAATGAAAAACAGCTGTTCGTTGCGACGAGTTGGCAGCACCCAAATTACAGCCCGCGTTCCGATTGAGAACCAAAAAAAATTAAAACTAAACTTTTAATTTTGCACGAAATATATTTGTGTATGCCGAATAGCATCTGAAAGGGAAATTGTAGTACATCAAACTGTAATCGGAGCTGTAATCGTTACAAACATCGGATGATCCCAATCTCACCTCTGCGTCCTGAGATAATCTGTAATATAAGTAAAAATGAGTTTATTCTAATACTGTAATTTCAACTGTAATTGTGACTAGAGAGAAACAAATATTCAGAATGTAAAAAACATGATAGATCAGTCATAGACATCAGATGTCCCTATCAAAGTTATCATCATAAAGAATTAGGTATCATTATTTAATATTATAATAAACTTACAGAGTAGATTATGTCCGGCCGTTCAGCGGATATGTCCAGGCACAGGAGCTCTGTAAAAAAAGGATATATGGATGAGTAAGAATTGCTAATGACGGGGATATGCCAAGAGAAAGCGATATGCAATCAGTTCTACTATCAAGATAAATCAATCATGAAGGTCAGATGTCCCTATCAAAGTTATCATCAGAAAGTTGCAGAAAATATTTTGTAACTAAGCAAATACTTACAAGGCAAGATACGTAAGAGACAGGTATTATATTCTTTTGTTTTTTCCACTGAAAATCCAACTTTCCTCTGTAAAGAAATAGGAAATTTGAGTGAAATTTGCTCATGACAGGGCTCATACCAAAAGAAAAAAATGTTGCAATCAGTTCTACTATCAAGATAAATCAATCATGAAGGTCAGATGTCCCTATCAAAGTTATCATCAGAAAGATGCAGAAAATATTTTCTGACTAGAGAAGTACTCACCATGAAGATTTAGCCCACGTAGTCTTTTAATGTGTCCATGCAGAATAACACTGCCCTCTGTAAGCAAATAATAATGTGGATTAGAATGTGTCTATAAAATTGAATACAGTATTAAAAGCATTGAGTAATCAGTTCTACTATCAAGATAAATCAATCATGAAGATCAGATGTCCCTATCTTAAGATATCATCAGAATAAGAGTGGAATAAATTGTACATCTAAGGCAGTACTTACCAAGAAGATGCAGCCACCTATTCTATGGATGTGCCATGGAGAAGAGAGGGTTCCTCTGTAACGAAGAGAAGTATTTGGATTAGAATGTCTTCATCAAAAGGAATACGTATAAAAAGTCTTGAGTAATCAGTTCTACTATCAAGATAAATCAATCATGAAGGTCAGATGTCCCTATCAAAGTTATCATCACAAAGAGGTACATTGGATCGGTATTTTTTTATACTTACAAAGCAAATGAAGTCGGACTTTTCTGCGAATATGTCCATTGACGGGACAGCCATCTATAAAAACAAAATAGATATTTTGATAAACATTTTTTACGTCAGAGATTTTTAAAGGGAGGATAATGGTGCAATCAGTTCTACTATCAAGATAAATCAATCATGGAGATCAGATGTCCCTATCATAGTTTATCATCAAATAAAAACGTGATGTGGTGCGGTTATAATAAATTGCACTTACAAATGGCTGCAGCACGTCCTTTAATTGTTCATCCATCTGTAAAACAAAATTAATGTATGATTAGTTGTGGTTAAAGAGAATTGTCCACATGGTAAAGTATTTGGAGTATTCTGAGTTAAGAAAACATGATTAATCAGTCATTTACATCAGATGTTCACATTGCAAGATAGAGCTTACCTTTTCCTTATTTCACGAAGGTCTTCAGCCAAGTATATAAAATGAAACATTACTTTTTTTAAATCTAATTTTGTGGTCCAACACGTGGTGCGCAGTGTGACCCCTGGAAGTATACGGAAATATACCTTCTCATTTTCAACATATCTTGAATCGCAAACGGTCTCCCTGAAAACCATCGATGACACTATCGTTACAGAGAAAACGTATGATATCAAGGCCTAAACAGTAAATAAAGCGCACTTAAAAAGGATGTTTGAAGCATCTAATACTCATAGCACAGATACAACATAATATTTTGCACAATTCTTTTGATTTTATATATTTTATTAAGTCATCGAACATCGATGGATTTGCATACATCGATTCCGTTGTTTGCGATGTTATATTGGCGCCGCGAACTTAAATTTTGATTTCAATTTCTAAAAATAGAAAATTACATTATGTTGGAAGATAAATATTTTGAAAAACACCGCCCACGCGTCGCAGATATAAGTGCCCTTGAATTTCGGAAGATTCCTTGCAGAGAAACTTGGTTAATATATATATATTTTTTTTATGTATTTTATATTTTAATTTATTTCAAGACCATTTAAATTTGTAAATGAATTCCTGTATGCTTCACGACTTCCATCAGCAATAGAAAAAATGGATCGCAAAATCCGGACTACTTTTTCCATTTTATTTGTTTAGATCGCAAAAAAAATCGATTCACTGAAAATAGATTCGCTTGCAGCTCTATCAGTCGTCGCTATATATCATAAAACTGTGCCGCTATTTACAGTTAAAAATGTTGCTTTTATTATATAAATAGATAATGCGAATTGGACACTCGGCACTTGATATACAACATTATAAACATTTAGTTATCGCGTCCTAATTAGCCAACAAATTACATTGCTTATTTACTTATTATTACATGGCAGTCGACGAGACATTGCATGTGACTAATTAAAACCAACAAAACTAATATTGAAATCTTATTGCTTTTCATTGATGATCAATGGCGGGAGGATTCTCCGCCGTTGACTGGCTGACTTCTAAGGCCTCTTCTTCTGGTTCTTGCTGCTGCTGCTGCTGCGGCTGCGGCTCCTGTTGTTGCTCCTGCTGCTGCTGGAGTTTTAGGCGTTTCTTGGCCTGTATATCGGCCAGGGTTTGTTCGATGGAGCGCACGTCCTTCTTGTTCTTACTGGGCACAAAGCCATAGCTTTGGTTTGTTTCTGTTTTGCCTGCCGCCTGCAGGCCCGCCGATTCCCCTATCAGATGGGCATACTTTGCTTTGTAATTGGTCGTGGGCTTCACCTCGCCCGTTGTATTGTCTGGGTCTGTGGAGCAGCCCGCCTCTGCCGCTGCTGTGGAAGCCTTTTTGTCGCTCTGCTCTTGAGCCAGGCGCTCTTTTCTTTGTTCCGCGTATTCTTTGGCAATCTCCTTGTTCCAGCCATCGCCATTGCGACGCGCCGTCACCTCATCCTCGCCGGGTGCATGCTCCTTCTTGTATACCACCGAATGGCGATCGACATCCTCCTGGCCGAAGCTCATCGCTATGAAGCCACCGTTCTCCGCAATCTCGTGAATGACCGATCGGTGCACTTTGTCCAGGGGCTGGAACTCGATGGACACACGATCATCCTTGGCAAATCGGGCCATCCGCTCGTCCACATACTTGCGGAATCTCGACAGTTCCTCCTTCTGTTTCTTTTGCATCTTTTCCATCATTTCCCGCTGCTTCTTGATAAGCGTTTTCTGCTGCTCACTGGCCGATGGCGGGGCATCCATGGCGTTCAGTATGGAGTCGAGGAGATCCATTTTGCCCCTAATTGTGTGTTGTACTTTGAGGGTTCGCTCGTTTGATTAATTTACTGCCTGACGCCGCCAACAAAAAGAGGGAAATTTGTGTTGATTAAGCAAGCTCTGCCAGTCGGAATGTTACTCCATTACTTACCACTCTCTGGCGAAGATTAGGAGTGTATCAAACTGTTCAATTATAGCTTATTTTGCTGTTTTTTTTTGTGTAAAAATAATTATAAATGTTTTGCAACCGGTGCTTGTGCACCACCAAATAATAAATGAAGCTGCCAACTCTTTGACTATTATGAAATTTAGTATTTTTTTGTAACAGCTGTTTAGATTCTGCAGAATTATTTTAATGTTTTTTACAACAGACTTGTAAGGAATCACGTCGTACCTTAGCTACGTATTTAAATGCTTAATTTTTCATGACAGCTTAAGTGCAACTTCCCAGTTTCAAAGCCTGCTTGGGTTTTTTAAATATAAATAACTGAAATTCGGTTAGGTTGGCAGCTCTCTCCTCACAGCTGGCGCGTGCAGTGAGTTTGAATTTGCGGAATAAATCGTCATAACATTATTTTTAAGGCTAATTTGGGGCTCATGATGGATGCCAAGCATGCCACACTCGTCCACTGGTTCCGCAAAGGTCTCCGCGTCCACGACAACCCCGCATTGACACAAATCTTTGCGGCGGCCAACGCTGCGCCTGAAAACATCCATGTGCGACCGATTTTCATTCTAGATCCAGGGATTCTCGATTGGATGCAGGTGGGCGCCAACCGCTGGCGTTTCCTGCAACAGACGCTCCACGACCTGGACCAGCAGCTAAGGCAGCTCAACTCACGTTTGTTTGTGGTGCGTGGCAAGCCCGTGGATGTTTTTCCCCGCATCTTTAAAAGCTGGCGTGTGGAACTGCTGACATTCGAGACAGACATCGAGCCCTATGCACTGCAACGCGATGCAGCTGTACAGAAATTGGCCAAAGACGCGGGAATCAAGGTGGACACACATTGTTCCCATACAATTTATAATCCAGAGCTGGTCATTGCCAAGAATATGGGCAAGGCGCCCATAACATATCAAAAGTTTTTGAGTGTGGTGGATCAGCTGAAGGCTCCCAAGGTGCTGCAGTTACCAGGGAAATTGTCAAAGAAAGCGCTGCCGCCCAAGGATGAAGTGGAGCAGCAGGATGGAGCAGCATACGATTGTCCTACTTTGCAGCAGTTGGTGAAGAAACCAGAAGATCTGGGACCCAATAAATTTCCTGGCGGTAAGAAATTCATTTCAATTTCACGTAGATAAACTTAATCTTTGATATTAATTATCCCAGGTGAAACCGAGGGTCTGAGACGTATGAAAGAGTCGCTACAGGATGAGCTTTGGGTGGCTCGCTTCGAGAAGCCAAACACCGCACCCAACTCCCTGGAGCCCAGCACCACGGTGCTCAGTCCGTATCTGAAGTTTGGATGCCTCAGTGCAAGGCTCTTCCATCAGCAGTTAAAGGAGATTCTTAAGCGGCAGTCCAAGCACTCACAGCCGCCCGTCTCCCTCATTGGACAACTTTTGTGGCGTGAATTCTACTACACGGTGGCCGCAGCCGAACCCAACTTCGATCGCATGCTGGGGAATGTGTACTGCCTGCAGATACCCTGGCAGGAGCAGGCCGACCATCTGGAAGCCTGGACCCATGCACGCACGGGCTATCCGTTCATCGATGCCATTATGCGGCAGTTGCGGCAGGAGGGCTGGATACACCACCTGGCACGACACGCCGTTGCTTGCTTTCTGACGCGCGGCGATCTCTGGATCAGTTGGGAGGAGGGGCAGCGTGTGTTTGAGCAATTGCTGTTGGATCAGGACTGGGCTCTAAATGCCGGCAACTGGATGTGGCTCTCGGCATCGGCGTTCTTTCATCAATACTTTCGTGTCTACAGCCCCGTTGCATTTGGCAAGAAAACCGATCCCCAAGGCCACTACATACGCAAGTATGTGCCAGAGCTGGCCAAGTATCCGAATGGCTGCATCTACGAACCCTGGAAGGCGACACTGGCCGACCAACGGGCATACGGCTGCGTTCTGGGCGTTGACTATCCGCATCGCATCGTTAAGCACGAGCTGGTGCACAAGGAGAACATCAAGCGGATGAGTGCTGCCTACAAAGTGAATCGGGAAGTGCGCACCGGCAAAGAGGAGGATTCTCCTGAGGCGGATCGCTCGGCCACAGGCAAGCGAAAGGTGGCAAAGACCACAGCAAATGCCGCAAAACGCAAACGCTAAAAGACATTATTATATTACCCCTAGTAGGGGTAGATATTGTTTTATATTAATTTAAAAAACAAATTTATAATGTGATTGCAGAATCTCTGTGAATGGAATTGAACTATAAATTGTGTATATATTGAAGCTTAGTTTTAATTTGCTGCGAGTAATCTATACCTTCTCATCAATAGCCAGCATCCCCAATGGTCAGCCAGTCAATGGGAATGGCTTCAAAGGCTGCTTTTGTGGCTCATGCTCTGCAAGAATAATTGCGGTAGTGCGCCAAATAATTATTGTCCTCTTTTATCATTAAGTGCCCAGTTTAATATGAATGACGATGAGCATTGGAGTTAGCTTTGCCCTCTGTAACTAATTATTATTTCATTTATATTGATGTAAAAACCAATGGCAAACATAGTGTCAGCTCAGATGTCAATGAATACTCTTTCCCAGTTGGCTTAGCTTTTTCTCGCCTGCCAAATTTGCTTGCATTTTGTTGGTTTTTCAATTTTTGTTAAATTTCCCAAACTACTTAGCCTTGAAATCGACTTTTCCCTGGATTTGTGTAGGAAAACGTTCGGATTACACCAGAAAATCTCAGTCTAAACCCACTTTTCGGCAAGTCAAGACCAGTTCCAATATTTGTTTGAAAAAAAAACGAAAAAAACAGACCCAGTAAATTTTATATTCCCTTTCCTTTTGTGTCTTGGAGAACGGTCTAAAATATAAACGCTAAAAATGATTCGTAATTTCGGTAATTTGAGGTCCAAGATGCTCATGCACCGGGCCTTTGCGTATCGCATGAACTCTCGCTGCAGCATGCCCGGCAGCCTGCTGTGCCGCAAGAAGCTGGAGTCACCGGCCGATAATGTTACCGTCACAGACATTAACATACACGATCTAGCCAAGGGGGATCTGGAGTTTCGACGCAACTTTCTGACAACGGGGAAGTTGCTCGAGCATTATCGCTATCCGGGGGCGGACAAGCCGAAGACCAAGGAGGATTCAACACCCAAGACCAAGGACAAACCTTCACCGAAAATCACTGGAGATACTGCTGGGAAACAGGCACCCACAGCTAGCGATGGCGACGGTGCCGCAGCCGACTCAACTACTGATTCTACTTTTAAATTCAGCACTCATCTGGACTTGGAGGGCAAACTATTGAATTTAAGGAACAAGATACTCGTGCACCGGGCCACCATGTCCCGCTTGGCCACTAGTCTGTTGTGCCGCAAGCAATCCGATCTTGAAATCAACATTCACGATCTTGCCAATGGCGATCTGGAGTTTCGACGCAGTTTTCTGACATCGGTGAAGAGGTGCGAGCATTACCGCTATCCGGAGGTGGATAAGCCGAAGACCAAGAAGGACAAAACACCACAGACCAAGGAGAAGTCTTCGCCAAAGACCACTGGAGATGCTTCTGGAAAGCAGGCTCCTACAGCCAGCGATGGTGATAGTGCCTCTGACGATTCAACTGCCAAGTTTAGTTCTGTGTTGGATTTGGAGGGCGCACTCTTGAATTTGAGGAACAAGATACTCATGCACCGCGCCACCATGGCCCGCATGGCCACTAGTATTCTGTGCCGCACATCGCTGAAAATGCAGTCCGCAGATGACGCCAACGTATACGACTGTGCCAAGGGGCATTTGGAGTTTCGACGCAACTTTCTGACATCGGGGAAGATGCTCGAGCATTATCGCTATCCGGGGGCGGACAAGCCGAAGCCCAAGGAGGACAAAACACCCCAGACCAAGGAGGAATCATCGCCAAAGACCACTGGAGATGCCTCTGGAACAAAGGCACCCGCAGCTAGCGATGGCGACGGTTCCGCTACCGACTCAACTGTTAAAACGAGCTCTGTACTGGATATGAATGGTAATCAGATTTTGCCCATTGAGATCGATGGCTGGCAACAGGACGGTGAAGCCGATCCCACTGTCCAGAACAGCACCGATATCGACATTGGCAACGACGACGAGTACAATGCCGAGATGTCACTCAACGTGCCGGAAAAACGTGAAGCCGAATTCTCATACAAGGGCATTACGATTAAGCTGCCAGAGTCCGCTTCCCAGGACATTGGCACCTATCGCTTCCGTCGCGATGCTGAGGATCTGGAGACACTCGCCGATGACATGCGCATCGTCAAGTTCGACAAAAAGTAGCGGGATGCATAATTTCCCTGCTACACCAATTGGTTTGGATCCCACAACTTGATCCTACACACTTTTGTTTAATATTTGGCCAAATATTAAACCCTTAATGCAAGTCTCACACACATCACATTGGAATTGCCGGCCGGCTCAAGCATAACCACATAAATAAAGAATCAGTTAATCAGCGTAATATATTTCTGATATTTTATTAATGGATATTCTTTAGATATGAGGAGAGATCTATTTCTCATACATAGATTTTACAATGTAATCTTTTTTTGAAAATTAAAAAAACAGCGTTTTGGTGACTGCGCACTTTAATGATTTTCACACGGTATCTATAGCGCCAATATCCAAAACAATTGATGGTTTTAAAGAACAATTGTAACTCCGCTCATAGGATTTTTTATTTGATTCCATACAATGGCTGTTAAAGTTAAAGTTTTCTACCATTTGAGGATCTCTAAAACTTCAGAAAGGCTTCGTATTTGCGGAAATTTATAGATTTTTTTTTCATCATATCATTTACAAGTAAAAATGCATCATTGTTTAATTTCTTAAATGGATAAGATGAATCTTAAGAAAACCTTTTCATTATCAAAGGAGTTTACATACTCGTACAAAATTGGCTATCCCTTCTTCTCGTATGCCACAATGCTAGGCACGGCACTTACAATATTAATTAAATCGGATACGAGTTCCACGTGTATAGACAATGGCCAAAACTGCAAAACTGCAAAATTGTTTGCCGTTTGGCAACGATGATTATCTGGCCAACTGTGACACGGACATGGCCGAGGGCGGACTGACAGCTGGCGCCAGGCCTGGTCATGTTTAAATGAACACCAAACTAGAGTCCAATTTCAGTACTGCCCTCGCGGCTATACATACGGAGTGTACCAGCCCACTCGGCCCACTTTATGCAAGTATATCACAAAAGATCGTTTTGTGGTCAATGGCAACCGGAGCCGGGGCCAAAAACACTTCACATAAATTGCATTAAAACGCGCGTAGGATGGTGCACGGGTTTGGGGTGGTCCCGGGAAACAAACTAACAATGAAACGGACGCACGGACATACGGACATAAACATGCTGCAAAATGTTTGTCGGCTCTAAACCAAAATTGAATTTGCGGTTGCAGCTCCCACGCCCCCGGCTGTGGGTGGGTGCCGCGTGCAGGTGGGTCAATGCAAATAACTGTAAATGAAGCTAAAATGCGGTCAGAAAATGTGGGGGAAGGCAATAAAAATGATAGGGGGAAGTGATTACTGGGTAGGCCGTAGTCAATGGTATTGGTAAACTGAAAACAAAAGTCGGTCAGATTGATAATGAACAGTGCACGGGGGAGAATTACCACTCTTTCGTCCTAATTGAACTCCTTTTTACCACACAGAGAAAAAGTTAATGTGATTTGATATGATGAACAATAGCATATTTCTTTGAGCTGTGCCACAATATAATTCGATTCTGAGTAATGTAATAAAAAATAAAAATAATAAACAATAATAATATAAATATGATAAGTACATGGCATAAGCAATTTTACCACTTAATGTGGGTCCCTGAGTGTGATGCTATGAACATAAACCAAACAAAAATGCAAACCAAACTGATCAAAAGTGAAATAGAAATAATTTTGTTTTTGAGCCTAGATAGGCCTCGGGTCTTTATAGGTCGAATCTTTTGGTTAGAGTTGCTGCTAAAATATACCCATCTCCATAGCCGCTCAGGCTCAAATTGATCAACAAAAGAGCAGGAACTGTTAAGGAAATGATATATCTTTTAGCCATGGCTGTAGGATAATTTTCTTTAAAAGTTTAAAGACTTTAAATGATCAGAAATTTTTGTTTTGTTTATACGGATAGGAAATTGTCTAGAAATTATGTTTTGCTGCTGAAAATTATAATAAAATGGCTTTTGAAGGGTCATTTATATGTTGAAATTAATATCCACAAGGCTAATGCGTGAGGGGGGGATATATTTATAAAAACCTGTAGGTCCAAATACCATCATAGATATTTCAAATCACTGTTCCTTCTTCTACTGGTAGCATAGCTTTTTTTGTGTGTTCAGATACCCTTTTGATGGCACTTCCTAAGATGGAAATCGAAATCCTCACACCCTGAAATAGAGTTGCGTTAATATCCGATAGAATGGGCAAAGAAAGAGTCGAAAGAGAGAGACAGCTGGAGAGCCAGAACCAGACAGATACAAAGCAGTATACATATCAAAGTCATCAACAGCAATATCCTACGCCGCACATCTCCGATACGGACAGAGGAACATGGACAGGGACATGGCTCTCGGTGGCAGTTTGCGCCTGGAAATGATGTGGTTAGCTGTGGCTCCTGCGGTGTGCTATACTGATGCATCAGTTGTTATTTTTGTTGTACTTTTAGTTGTTGTTGCTGTGGTTCCTGATGACGACTGTCGGTCTGACGGGCCAGAAACTTTTTCGGGCCATGGGCAAACGAGAACGGTAACTGAAAACGGTTGGAAAAGTTGCCCGCCAGGAGTAGGTCAGACAACAGACCATGTGCTTTTGGGCTTAAATGAAACGTATGTACGAGTATTTGGAAAAACTCAAGGCCTTTATGCACACAGAAATCCGATATTAACATCACGCAGCCTATAGGGAATTCAGTTTTGGTTTACTGGACTTAAAAAACGTGTTGGAGGCTGCATTTTTAAAGCCTTTTTAAAGCAATTAAAAGGGAATAATTTTTTTATAAAATACTGAAACATATATTGCTCTTAGAATAGAATTCTTCAGCATATGGTTTTGAGATGACACAAATTTAAATATTCTGATTTTTTTTCTTGCTGTTAGAGTTAAAGTTTTAAGCAATTTGGTGTAAGGATATCAAAAAAAAGAAGGCTTTCAGGTGAACATATAATTCAAGACAATTAACGTTGATATTTATGATTTATGCATAAATCATGTGTATTTATGTTTGGATTGCAAAACGAAAAATCAATAGAATGCAATCACAGCAATCAGCATTAAATGGGCCGCTACCGCTCGCTGCTCCTCCCTGCGGGAGGATAAGGCCCATCAACATCATCATTATCATTATCATCATGGGTTGGCCGGAATTTCCGTTGGGCAGGAGTTGGCCAAGGGCCATTACAGAGCTTCGCTCCGGTCTCCGGTCCGGTCTGGTTTGGTCCAGTCCAGGGTCCGTGTGCGGGAAGTTGACCAACTTTTAATACCCGCAGCGGCCATGTTGCGCATGTGTAATCCCATTAAAATCCAATAAGTTAAATTATTTCCATTATTATTATGTGAACGCACTTTGTCGCTGTCCGTCCATCAGTTCATCCTGTCCGGCCCGGCCCTGCCCGGCTGGAGTCCCATCCGGATAGCTGTACATGTGGGCGTTTATCTCTCTACGGCATCGACTCTCTGGCTGTGGCTTTTGTTGTCCCACCTCTGGCCACCACTTCCCCCCTGCCCAGATTCGCTTCCATTTGCAGTTCAATGTCCGGCACAGTATTGGCGGTACTTTTGACCAATATCTGCAACACTTCAGACCTCCGTCCGAATGTGGTTACGCCCATCAGTGGGCACTACTGTCCTCGCCTCCATTGTTGGTCATTAAATTGCATTACGTTCATGCAATCATTATGATTGCCGTTTGCCGTTGCTGTTGTTGTTGTTCTTGTTTTTGTGTTCTCATTGTGCCCTGTAATTTGGGTATATTTTTTAATTACTTGCCAGCTTCCTGTGCGATGAGAGATGAGGCTGCACATGGCACCCAAAAGAAGGGGAGAGAAACAATATTCGGTTTTTACATTAATGAGCAACCATGTTATAGGAGAACACTTGAAAAATCAGGGAATTTCAGGGAGTCAAGGGCTTAAAGATGACGGGTATCATTCTCATTCTTCGAGCTGACCGATATTGAATTATAAAACGGTACTGCAGCATTTTTGAATAAAATATTGAAGACAAAGGAACAGCAGGATATGCCTAGGTTGGACCTTATACTTATTCTAATAGATACTTTAAGGCACAGCTGGCCTTTATTTGCTTTTATTGCTATCTGCGCAAGAGTCTATATGAAATTCACACCATGAGAGAAGATAAAAGACACAGGCACAAAAGGAACACAAAAGGAAACTTGTAACCTTTCGATGCTGATATTTTTGATGTAGTCTTTGTATATTTGTTTTACCTTTGCTCTGAAGAAACAGATATTCCCATCTGTTATTTATGATATTCAATTAAAAACCATCAAATTTCATTACGTCAATTTCGCTTCCAATTAATATAAAACGCATGTTGCCAAAAAATAAATTGAATTATTATAAAAAATATGAACAAAAGTTCTTAAATTGTGGGAAAAAACCTCCAGAAATACATACGAATTTAACTAGGAGTTTATCATGCATAAAAAAAAAAAATACAGAAAGAGACAGCATTATGTGAAAGTGAAAGAGAGAGCTAATGGCAACGACAATGTGCCGCAATTACGGCAAAATAGTTTGCAAAACTGTGCGAACGAATGGCAACGGAAAAAACAGGAACATAACCAACCGAGAATAGCGGTAAAACTATAGTAAATATTTTTCACAGAAAAAATAAAAAGTAAAGGAAAAGCATAAAAGGCACAAATGTATATGTGTGTGTGGTGTGTGTGTGTGTGTGTTGAAACGCGCTCTGGCATCGTTAATATTTTTCCTGCCAACTGTCAGACAACAAAAAACCCAGAAAATTCAACAACAATGACAACAACAAGCACCAAAACACCAACAACCATAACAACAACAAATTTCAGCAACATGAAAGAAAGTCAGCTTCATGATCCAAAGCTTTAGATACCCTGGCAGATTTATCATTCCATTTATCAATAAAAAGTAAGGATTTTGCAGGGATTTAACCAGAAATAGTAGAATTAAAACAAGACGACTAAATGGAATAGAAACAGACAGACACAATTGGCTATATCGACACGTAATACGCCCTGGTACAGGTTGTACGCGAAATAACTAAGAGTTGGCTAACACGCATACGCCGCGTACGCCAAAACCGGGAATGGCTCCAGAGAGTGGGACAGGAAGTACACATCTGACTGTAGCATGGGGGGAGGGGAGGCATGGCAATGGGAGCAACAGCAATTTTTTGGTTCATGAACATGCGGCAAAAATTAGTAGCGAAGCGAGCAAAACACAAAGCACACGACTGA